TGACAGCATGAGTAACCCTCACTCATGGAGTTAGCCCCCCCCCCCCAGATCAGCATTTCAAGGAGTCCACCAAACATTCTAATTTGCAAAGCCTTGTTACTAAGTCATTATTCAGAAAAGTACCAAATACTGAACTAGCAGGAAACATGGAAATGAAAAATGAATATGAGGGAGGCTGAACTCAACATTTTTTTCTGAATTAAGATGTTCGAACCTTGCCTCGGGATGCTGGCATAAGCAATAAATAAACCCGTGAGTGTGGATAACTCAGGCCGTCATCCAGAGAATAACAATTTTACAGTTATACTTTGTTCTATTGCATCTTTTATTTTCAAAGAGAACACTTTGTTCATCAGTTCTTATGACAACAACAGGCAACCATTAGTCACAACTGTAACTCACACATTTCCAACTACATTTGTTTGCATACTGTGCAGAAATATGGAATACAATGTTAGGACCTTCAAAAGTGCGCACATAACCAAAACAAGAGAATGATGCCCAGCTGCTCCTATGCTTTTGCCCATTTCTAACATCACTATAAGCAAAATGTAGGAGCCATTTCAAATCCTGATGTAGATCTCTCAACAATATATGTAAATAATCTGTTCCAAAAATGTACATACTTTTTCTTTCATTTTGAGATCAAAGGTACTGTAAGTAATGAATCCATGTATACATACCTCCCTTGAAATGTCTAAGTGTTTTTCTGCATAATGCATAGCTTGATCATGGTTCCCAAGGGCTGTATATGCATTTCCTAAACTCCAGCAGGCCCTTCCTTCACCAATTCTGAAAAATAGTTCAACAGTGTCACACTTATGAAAATACTTCAGATTCTAACTGCTGAAATCTGTAACTACATTGTGGTAACTACTGCACATTTCTTTCTGTGAAACTCTAATTAATGGAACTATAGGGTCCTATGAGAAAATTCAATAATATGATTATCTGATCCGCCATTTATGGCCATTTCATGGAGGAGAAATGAAAGTGAAGAGAAGTAATTGTATCAACAGTGCATCTCATGTGACCTAAGGATGCTCAGTTAAGTTAAAGCATTATGAAAAATAGCTACACAGAGAAGTATTTGTGCACTTAGTTCAGGGGTCCTCAAACCTTTTTAAACAGAGGGCCAGGTCACAGTCCCTCAAACTGTTGGAGGGCCGGATTATAATTTGAAAAAAAATATGAATTAATTCCTATGCACACTGCACAGATTTATAAGTTGCTTACCTGTAACTGTAGTTTCCTGAGTAGTCACCTACGAATTTGCACACATGGTATTCCTGCGCCTGCGCAGTTCAACTTCGGAACCTTCTAGAATAGAAAAAATGACATTTATGACACTGCCTGGCCCCGCCCCCCCTCCCCCCTCCCCTCTCGAGTATATATAGCCCACGCGGGGCCAGGCCCCCTCAGTTCTCTTCCGCCTAACAGCAGAAGACGGGGGCATGACACTCGAGGGGAGGAAGGGCGGGTTGTGCAAATTCGTAGGTGACTACTCAGGAAACTACAGTTACAGGTAAGCAACTTATAATTTCCTGTCGTAGTCAACTACGAATTGCACACATGGTAGACTAGCAAGCTACTAACCGTGGACGGCGGGCGTCATGCCACCGCTGAAAACAGAACCGATCTCCCAAACTCAGCTGCTCTCTTGGACACGACATCCATCTTATAATGCGACACGAAGGAAAGTGGCGTCGTCCAGATGGCAGCTCTGCAAATGGCGTCCAAAGGCACACCTCTCATAAAAGCAACAGATGTTGACACCGCTCGGGTTGAGTGACCCTTCACCTGTGGAGGTAAGTCTTTTCCAGACAGTTTGTAGCACAACCGAATTACGGAAACCACCCAGGAGGAAAAACGCTGGGAGGACACTGGCAACCCCCTTGTATCCTTACGATACTTAATAAATAACCTTGGCGTTTTCCTAATTCCAGATGTCCTTTCTACATAAAACGCCAAAGCCCTACGAACATCTAAGCAATGCCAACCCTTTTCCAGAGACGTCGTAGGCTTCTGAAAAAAGGAGGGAAGAACAATCTCCTGAGACATATGAAAAGTTGTGGAAACTTTGGGGAGAAAAGCAATGTCTGTGCGCAATACAACCTTATCCTTGTGAAATCTAAGATAAGGAGGATCAACCCGTAAAGCGCACAATTCACTGGCCCTCCTAGCCGACGTTATGGCCACTAAAAAGGCCACTTTCCAAGATAGATAAGATAAATCTATCGTCGCTAGTGGTTCAAAAGGAGGCCTCATCAAAACTGTTAACACCAATTCCAAACTCCAGGAAGGGGAAACAGGGGATACATAGGGTCTAGTATTAGCAATACCCCGTAGAAAAATTTTAACCATTGGATCCCCAAAACACGATGGAAGGCCCGCTTTCCGCCGAAACCAAGAGATGGCGGCCAAGTAACATTTTAAAGACGAGCCCGAAAGGCCCGCATCTAACAACGAAACCAAAAAATCAAGTATTAATGAGATAGATGCTTTCTCAGGCGTGACACCCCTTTGCGCCACAAAGGTCTTAAACTTAGCCCACTTGTATAGATATGATCTTTTTGTCGAAGGTCTATGCGCCGCCTCAATAATAGAGCGGACCGGGCCAGATAGTTCAGCAAAAGTAGTCAATGGTTCGGCATCACGAGCCATGCTGTCAACCCAAGCTGCTGCACCCCGGGATACAGCACCTGACCCCCTTGAGACGTCAACAGATCTGATCTGTGACGAAGCCGAAGAAAATTGCTCTGTGATAACTGGAGAAGGGGGGCAAACCAGGGTTGACGGGGCCACCAAGGGGTCACTAGGACGCAGTGAGCGTTGTCCCTCCTGATTTTCGCCACCACTCTGAGTAACAGAGGGAAGGGGGGAAAAGCATAAAGTAGCCTGCCCCCCCAATGATGGAGGAACGCGTCTCCCAGGCAGCCTATTTGTGGCATTGGATGGCAACGGGCGCAAAACAGCCGACACTTGGTGTTCTGAGGCGTTGCAAATAGGTCCACTTCCGGTGCGCCCCAAAGCCTGAACAGGTCGGACGACACTTCCTCGTTCAGGACCCACTCGTGGTGGGCCATGGGACTCCTGCTCAGCACGTCCGCAAGACCGTTGTCCACCCCCGGAAGGTGAGTGACCACGAGGTGTATCCCCCTGGTGATGCACCAATTCCATATCTCTAGACACAGGTCTAACAAGGGACCCGAATGAGTGCCCCCTTGCTTGTTCAGATAGTACATCACCGTGGTGTTGTCGGTGAGTACTTGGATGACCTTCCCTGACAGCACTCTCTCGAAGGACCTTAGACCCCTGTCCACCGCGAGCAGTTCGAGTACGTTTATGTGCATGCCTGCCTCGTTTGCGGACCACACCCCTTGTGCGATCAAACCTTGAGAGTGAGCCCCCCAACCCGACAGGGACGAGTCTGTAGTCATAGACCTGACAGGAGATGGAGGCTGGAAAGGGAGGCCCTGGCATACCCAACGCTCGTCCAACCACTCCGCAAGGGAAAGTTTGACATTGGCTGGGATGGAAAGTGTGGTGGACGGGTGGTCCCCAAGGGGATTGAACACTGAGAGAAACCAAAACTGGAGGGACCGCATTTTCAGCCGGGCGTAGGGAGTGACAGCCGTGGTTGAGGCCATGTGCCCCAATAAGACCTGAATCTGCCTCGCGGTTATTTTTGGGGCAGTGACAGCATGTCTGACCAGCTCCTGCAATTTGCTGAAACGGTCCGGAGGAAGGTAGGCCCTCTGAGAGACAGAGTCCAGCAGCGCTCCGATGAACTGAATCCGTCTGGCAGGGACGAGAGAGGACTTCTCCGGGTTGATGACTAGACCCAGGGACTGGAGCAAAGACAAAATAATAGAGACATGATGTTCTAGTTGCTCAGGGGAGCTGGCGACAACCAGCCAGTCATCAATATAGGGGTACACCGTCACTCCCCTGGTGCGGAGGTGGGCCGCAACCACAGACATGCATTTCGTGAAAACCCTGGGCGCTGTCGAAAGGCCGAATGGTAAGGCGTTGTAACAGTAGGCCTGATGACCAATCATGAACGCCAAAAATCTACGGTGATGCGGTACGATAGAAATATGAAAATAGGCATCTTTCAAGTCAACCGTAGCGAACCAAGCGCCCTGGAATAACAGCGGCATAATCATAGACAAAGTGACCATTCTAAATCTCTTTGGGGGAATATGTTTATTAAGAGATCTGAGATCCATAATGGCTCGGAAACCCCCACTTCGTTTATTCACCAAAAAATATCGAGAGAAAAAACAGTATTGGAACATAACTGGGTTGACAGCAGAAATGGCCCCCTTGGCCAACAAGGCTTGAACTTCTTCTGACAAGGGCAGAGAAACAGGCGTAGAAATAGGTTCCCCAGTAGGGGGTACGTTCTCAAACTCAATCCTATAACCATTCTTAACAATAGAAAGAACCCATTTATCAGAAGTAATTTGCGCCCAAACATCGTAAAACGGGGCCAACCTCTCATAGAACAATGGTGGGGCCGGGCAAAGTGCCCTTGTGGCCTCAACCCGCGAACCTGACGATGGAGCGACCAAGGAGCAAACGGGCCCCGACTGAGTCGCCCCAGGCTCCACTCCCGTGTCAAACCCTCTTCTTGGATGCGGGCTGGCCCCTAGGCTTGTTTTGAAAAGACTGGAATTTGGATCTGGCTCCATAGGGAGCTCTCCGGCCAGATTGGAACCTGGAAAAACCCGAATTACGGTTCCTGTAGGGGCCCCCGAAAGAGTTAGAGAAATTCCTGCGGAAGCCAGAGGATTGCTGTTGTTGTTGCCATCTGGGTTTTGGTTGGGGGCTTGGCTGCCACGAGTAGCCAAACTTACTCGCCGCTTGGCGAACTTCTTGTTTGCTTTTCAGCTTTTCGTCTGTTTCGGGATTGAAAAGCCCATCCGCATGTAGCGGGAGGTCTTCCGCAAGGGCTTTACCCTCCTCAGAGAGGTTGGCTGCCCTAAGCCAAGCATGCCGTCTGATCGAGGTGGCGATGGCAAAAAGATTGCCAGCTGCCTCGGCCAGGTGCTTGGCGAAATCCTTTTGGAAGCGAGCCAATACGACGGCTTCCTCCTGCAAGGCTTTAGGGAAGCGTTGGTTATCTGGCGGCAAGGAGTCCAAATAAGGTAAGATTTGCTCCCACAGGAATTTTTGATAGCCGCTCATGTAAGTGGCAAAATGGGACATCCTTGTAAATAACCCCGCTGAAAGGTGGGCCTTCCGTCCCAGTGCGTCTACCTTTCTACCCTCTCTATCAGGGGGAGTAGTCAAAGCGCCCTTCTGTCGTTTGCCCTTGGCGACCTCAGCCACCACCGTATTTGGTCTGGGAGGATTGGAGACCCATTTGGCAGATGACAAATCAATCTTATACAGGGCATCTACCCTCCTGGGTACAGCCGCCACAAGTGGGGGGGCTACATCAGATACCCTAGCCAATTTAAGTAAGTAAGGAAGTGGAGGCAATGCAGTGGGGGACACGATGTTCTGCTCATCCGAGGGGAACATCGGGTCCTCCACGTGTTCAGATGGCTTTGGGGCCGGTAGATCCAGGGCCTTTATCATTCTGCTAACGAGGGAGGCAAACTTATTGAAATCAGGAGATCTGTCCATAGTCTCGTCTGCAGTCCCCGCAGCTTGGGCCGGATCAGGAGAATCTGGGGTCGATTCATAGTTGTCAATGTCCTCGACTGTAAGTCCAAGCTCCTGTCCCCCTAGGGTATCTGGCTGGACATCAGTGAGCTGCAGCTCGCCCTCACACAACATTGGGAGGGGGGGGGTGTCATGAATGGAGGGAGGTACAGTATTGGCTCCCCTACCTGCTGACACATTCAAGGTATGCGCCCCCTGCAGAGAGGTGCCCGGCATCACAGTCAAAGGCCCCTGGGGAGGGGGAGGGGCAGCCGGCGCCATCATCCTTTGCATGGGAAGGGGCATGGCCGGTGTCGACGACATCGGAAAGGGTGGTTGAGGAGGCCCCATTGTGGGGACAAACACATATTGCCCCGTTGAAGACATCTGCCAAAAACCTTGATAAGGCAGGGGAGGGGGCGCTGGGGCAGGAACCCGGTGTCCCCTGCGCGAGGGGGATCGGGACCATCTTGAACGACGTCTCCTTCTCGAGCAACCTGAGGAGGAGGAGGATGACGAGGAGGATGAAGAGGGCGATCTGCGCCGGCGTCGCCCAGATCCCCTTGAAGATCGAGACGGGGAGCGCGCACGTCTCGAGCGCCGGGAGCCGCGCCGCGGCGGCTCGATATGCTGGGCCCTTCTCTCCTCGCCCCCGCCCTCAAGGGCAGCCGATGTCGAGGGAGGGGAGGAGTGTTGCAGTGCCGCTCCCCCAAAGATCGAGGAGGAGGGGCCAGCCATCTGCATTGGAGACGAGGCCACGCCCCCGCCCAGAGGTGGGGCTAGCATCGGGGGAAGCAGCTGATCACCGAGAGCGCCCTCGGTATCGCGAGGGTCAGCTCCCGCTGCCTGCATCCCTGAGTCTCCCGGCATCGGGGGAGTGAGGGCAGGCATCGGCAGAGGCGGGATCGCCTGCCTGTCGCTCTCGGGAGGCTCTGAAAGCGTGAGCGCAGGTGCTACCTCTCCAGGTAGCGTCGATGGCGGCAGGCTTCCCACGCCGAGCGGCTGCGCCGACCCCGCAGGCTGGAGAGAGGAGAGCCGCGTAGCCTCGAGAGGGGGCGCTCGATCACCACGCTGCTGAGCGGGAGGGAGTCGAGTCGGAGGTGAGTGACGAACTGTCTCACTTCCCGCCTTTTTGCTCGGTCCCTGGGGACTCGGAGAAGTCAGAGCGCCATCTTGGAGGACAGCCTCCTTTGCCTTTTTAACTTTCTTCTTGGCGGGTCCGCCATGTTGAGGCAATTTAAGGCCCAATAGGCTGGAAGGCCTGGCGGTTTGGGCTGGAGGCGCTGGCGGAAGGAGGGCCCTTTCATACAGCGCCGCCTTCAACCTGGAGACCCTGTTCTTTCGGGTCTGAGGCGTGAAGGCCTGGCAAATCTTGCATGGTTGAGCAAGATGGGCCTCTCCCAAACAGGCTAAACACAGCGAGTGCCCGTCAGTATCCGGGAGAGTATTTGGGCACTGAGTGCACCTCTTGAAGGACGTGGTCGCCATAGATGTTTTAGAAAGGCGAACAGTCAACAGCCGATAGGGAGCAGGCCAAAGGAAGGTCGAAGACAGTCCGAGTCAATTAGCCAGGCAGAAGACAAGAGGAGAAGTTAGGTACAGTCCGGGTCAAAGAATTAGAGTATAAACGAAAGCCAGTCCGAGTCAAAAACCAATAGTCTACCTATGAGTTGATCACGAAGAAGGTTCTCTAGTTGAATCGCTGGCGGATAAAGAGAACTGAGGGGGCCTGGCCCCGCGTGGGCTATATATACTCGAGAGGGGAGGGGGGAGGGGGGGCGGGGCCAGGCAGTGTCATAAATGTCATTTTTTCTATTCTAGAAGGTTCCGAAGTTGAACTGCGCAGGCGCAGGAATACCATGTGTGCAATTCGTAGTTGACTACGACAGGAAACTTATTTGTGGTTCAAAACCACTTAAAAACAATACAATAATTAAAATGAAGGAGCCCCCAGTGGTGCAGTGGGTTAAACCCCTATGCTGGCAGGACTGAAGACTGACAGGTCGCAGGTTCGAATCCGAGGAGAGGCGGATGAGCTCCCTCTATCAGTTCCAGCTCCTCATGCGGGGACATGAGAGAAGTCTCCCACAAGGATGACAAAAACATCAAAATCATCCGGGTGTCCCCTGGGCAACGTCCTTGCAAATGGCCAATTCTCTCACACCAGAAGCAACTTGCAGTTTCTCAAGTCACTCCTGACACAACAAAAAAAAAATTAAAATGAAGAACAATTTTAGCAAATATAAACTTAGTATTTCAATGGGAAGTGTGGGCCTTCTTTTGGCTGATGAGATAGGATTGTTGTTGTGTGCTTTCAAGTCATTTCAGACTTAGGCTGACCCTGACCGAGGGCCAGGTAAATGACCTTGGAGGGCCGCATCCGGCCCCCGGGCCTTAGTTTGAGGACCTCTGACTTTGGTGACAATCTCCCACGTTCAGCATGAGAAAGCATGAGGCTGAGTTCCAATGCTAACTATGCATGCAAAATAAATGTATATTGGTTACCGAAATATTTTCAACAGACCTACTCCTTCCACTTCAAAAGATTGTACTAGAAGGACTCTGGGTTAATATATTTCTTAAGAAGCAGTTCCCTTATCATAGGGTAAATTCCTACTAAAAATGGAATTCCTGTTGTTCAAGATGCTACTTCCAAAGTAGTTTAATTGGATTTTGCAACGCAAATGGAAAAGAGTCACATGTCCCATTGGTCAAATTTAGATGTTCTTGGCATGCCAAAGTAGCTCTTTGTTTTCCTGCCAATATGAAGTAGGAAATTCTATAGGATCATTTTATACTTATATTAGTTATACAGCCACAGACTTACCTATCATTCAGTTCTTCAGCAATTGCCAAGTGCTTTAGATGATAATCAATAGCCTTTTCATAGTCCTGGAGTAAAGTGTATGTATTTCCAAGGCTGTAGCAAGCCTGTGCTTCTACGGCTCTGTCTGACAGCTGTCTGGCGAGCTGCAGGGTCTTCCTAAAGAATAAACAGCTAGATATTATCTCTACAATATCATCAATATATTGTTGCAATGCATACAGCCCTCCATTTTTTAAATTCAGTTACATTAAAATTAATCTATAGAAAGTTATGTTTCTTGCATATGCTTTTTAAAAACCTAGAATGTGCTTTTAAAGACCTTATTTACAAAATTTAAAAGCATACAGCAGAAGTTCACAATAAAGGCTGTAAATCATTACACTATGTAACAAAATTTGATTTTTTTTTCTGCTCCTGGTTTGAAAGTGTTATTTCCTGTTTAATTGTGCGGTGCTAACTTTGAAAGTTATTATACTCCAGAAACTTTAGTTTTTGTGGCTTCCACAAACTATGTTGAATTGGCCGAGACCCTATGAGATATTCATTTAAAAACTATTTATTATTTATTTACTATACTTGTATATCGCCTTTCTCAGCCTATCAGCGACTCAAGGTGGTTTACAATAAGTCAGAACACATAATAGCAAAATACAAATTAAGCATTAAAACAATATAAAACCACAATAGAAACAATAAAAACCAGTATCGTTATCATCAGCGTCTCCTAGTTAAAAAACTTTGTCCAAGTTCCAGTGTTCCATTTCCTATGTCAGTTACTCTGCATTTGTAAACGCTTGTGCATATAACCATGTCTTAACAAAGACCACCAGCATTGAAGCGATGGTCCTCCAACATCAACTTCGCTGGGCCGGCCACGTTGTCCGGATGCCTGACCACCGTCTCCCAAAGCAGTTGCTCTACTCTGAACTTAAGAACGGAAAACGGAATGTTGGTGGACAGGAAAAGAGATTTAAAGATGGGCTCAAAGCCAACATTAAAAACTCTGGCATAGACACTGAGAACTGGGAAGCCCTGGCCCTTGACCGCTCCAGCTGGAGGTCAGCTGTGACCAGCAGTGCTGCAGAATTTGAAGAGGCACGAATGGAGGGTGAAAGAGAGAAACGTGCCAGGAGGAAAGCGCGTCAAGCCAACCCCAACCGGGACCGCCTTCCACCTGGAAACCAATGCCTTCACTGTGGGAGAAGATGCAGGTCAAGAATAGGGCTCCACAGCCACCTACAAACCCACAAAAATAGTAATCAAGGAAGACTATCTTACTCATCCAACGAGGGATCGTCTAAGTAAGTAAATAAAGTCTTAACTTTTCTCCGAAACGTTACGAGTGAGAGAGCCAATCTAATCTCCTTAGGGAGGCCGTTTTATAGCTGAGGGGCCACCACAGAGAAGGCCCTATTTCTCATCCCCACCAATCATACTTGTGATGAAAGCAGGATCGAGAGCAGGCCCTCCCCGATGATCTTAAAGTCCTAGATCAGTGCTTCTCAACCTTGGGTCCCCAGATGTTTTTGGCCTACAACTCCCAGAAATCCCAGCCAGTTTACCAGCTGTTAGGATTTCTGGGAATTGTAAGGCCAAAAACATCTGGGGACCCCAGGTTGAAAACCACTGTCCTAGATGGTTCATAAGGGGAGATGCATTCGGACAGGCAAAATGTGGTGCAGAATGTCCCGCAAAAACAAAGTTTTTGCAGTTTAATAAACCTTTTCCATGTTTTTACCAATTAAAAAATGACATTTATAACCCAGGAACAAAAAATTGTGTTACATAGTGTTATTAGAAGGTAAGGTGGATACATAGTTAATCATGTAAATGAAAATAAGTACACTATTTGTGAAGGTCATAACTGAAACAGTGTTATTTAATAAACTAACTTGTAGTATTCAGCCGCTGTTTCAAACTCCCCAAGGAAAATATAAGCATTTCCAAGATTACTGTAGGCTCTTCTTTCTGCCGCCCGATCTCCAAATTCTTTTGCAATTAAAAGACGCTGCAAAACAAAGTTCTCGTTAAAATTTCAGGGGAGACAGAATACCTAGAATACAATGGGTACCCTTATTTGTGTAACCCCACCTCAAAAATATCAAAGAGCATCTTGAAATGATCCCTACATTCCAAAACCTGGTGTTTCAGCTAAATAGTGGACTGTAAAGGCATGGTATGCATTGCCAAGGCATCTGAGAGCACCTGATTTCTGCTTTTGTTAATTTGTGGAAGTATCTATTTAGAGTATTTATAGCCTGCCTTCCAGCCAAAAAGGCCCCTCAAGGTAACCAATGATTAAATTGTTAGTTTTGTACCCACTCTCTCAGATTCTATGTAAGATAACAACACATAAGGAAAAGACAAAGGCAGTGGGAGAAGTAATAAAGTCCAGCCAATCAGATGGCAGAGCAAAGACTGTGAAGCGATCATCAGCCACTAGGCCAGTAGTTCTCAACCTGTGGGTACCCATATGTTTTGGTCTTCAACTCCCAGAAATCCTAACAGCTGGTAAACTGGCTGGGATTTCTGACAGTTGTAGGCCAAAACACCAGGGGACCTATAGGCTGAGAACCACTGCACTAGGCCAAAGCATAGTATAACTTGGAGAAAATTAAGAGTAACAGACCACAAACTGCATTTCTAAATGGCAGGTACACAATATAGTATCCTGAGAAGCACTAACATATACTTTGCTTGTACCTGTTCATGGGCAATGACAGCACTTCTGAAGTTTCCCAGAAGATAATGGGTATTGCCCAGGTTTCCATATGCACGCCCCTGTGCAGCTCTATCTCCCAGTTCTGTCACTATGTTCAGGTTCTCCCTATTTAACAGGGAAAGGGAGAGAGAAAAAAAGATATGTTTATTTGGCAGGACTACACAACTAATATTTAGGACAATTATGAATGTTCCTGGTATTATGAGGAAAAAACACTTCTATTTGATGAGAGCACCATTACAGCTATGGTATATTCCAAACTTGTGAATGTGGAAGCACACCATCTTGTAACAAGGGTCCTGATTCAGATACTGAGATGTGGCACAATCTGAACACACAGTAAAGCTGCACTGATCACCCAAACCTCTCAGAAGCAGTGGAAGAAAGGGTCTATTCCTAAATTTAATCACGAATCCTATTTATTTATTTATTAGAAACATTTATATTCCACCCTTCTCACACCAAAGGGGACTCAGGGCAGAGCACAGCATATATATAGAAAACATTCAATGCCAGGACACAAATTCATATACACATACATAAACATTAAAAACATTTATCTCAATATTAAAATGCACCATTTAAAATCGTCCTAATCATCAGCGGCAAATCTAATCGGCCTGGTAATATTTCCTATTGCTGCTTTATTGCTCTGTCCCAAAAGCTTGGTCCCACAGCCAAGTTTTTACCACCTTCTGAAGAACAGGAGGGAGGGGGCTAATCTCATCCCACCAGGAAGGGAGTTCCATAGCCGAGGGCAATCACCGTGAAGGCCCTGTCTCTCGTCCCCACCAATCGCGTCTGTGACAACGGCGGGACAGAAAGCAGGGCCTCCCTGGAAGATCTTAATCTCCGAAATGGTTCATAGGAGATGCGTTCAGACAGGTAAATGGGTCGGGGCCGTTTAGTGCTTTATAGGCCAAAGCCAGCACTTTGAATTGTACCCGGAAGCAAACAGGTAGCCAGTGAAGCTGGCGTAACATGGGAGTTGTATGCTCCCTGTATGCCGCCCAAGTTATTAACCTGGCTGAGTCTCGTTGGACTATTTGAATGCTAAATGCCTTGGAGTACAAAAGGTAAAAGGTAAACTAAAGACAATATTAGAGTATTTTTGTGCTGTGTTTTTTTGCTTTGTGCTGTGTTTATGTTCTGTAGAAACTTCATTCACACTAGTGCTTCTCAGGCTATCTGATGCGAGGGACCAAAATTATTTTTCTCTAGTGCACCAGGAACCAGTGCCATATTTGTGCTCACTGGCTACAATTGTGTTTTTAATTTCTGGGAAACTGCCAGGGATCAGCAGCCCATGGCTCACTGCACAGCATTAACTTACACAGCCCTAGTCTTAATTTTTAAAATCAGGTGATATTATGTACTGAAGACTTGAGAGGGAGAAACAAAAGTTGTTGTACATGCCCAAGAGACCTCTGGCCTTAGGAGGATCTGGTAATCCCCCTGTAGAAGAGAGGTGATTAATGGAAATTGAATCATTTCAGCCTCTCTATGGCCCTTTTACACAGACATATAATCCAGATTAGCGAATCAGATCATCCACATTATCTGCTTTGAACTGGATTATAGGAGTCCACACTACCATAAAATCCAGTTCAAAGCAGATCATATGGATGTTATATGGTGGTGCAGAAGGGGCCAATATGGTGACTATTCAGGAAAAATAGGTTTTTAGTGACTTCTCCATGGCAAAATATATTTCCATAAACCCACTATCTTGTAAAAGAATACATTAAAAAAAAAACACTTCCAATGTCATCAGCCAAGCCTACTTAAACATTCTGCTACAGAAATTTTAATTGCTATTTTGGCTTTATTAAGTTCCTAAAATTGGATTTTATTCTTTTTCTTCTTTCATAAACATATAACCATTATTGAAAAAGGATATGTGTAACTAATCTGAAGCAAAACCCAGACAAAAACAATGCCCAACAGATTTCAATCTATTGGAACCGAGAAGTTTATGTGGCTGCTTGCTGTACTGACCAGAAACACTTTCCCATCTAAGGAAAAATCTGCATACCCTTTTTCCCAACTGGTGAAGCATTCTGTGTCATGCTTTTGCAACCTCAAAACAAGGCTTCTGTAATTATTAACTATCCCTTGAAAACTGGTCAGGAGCAGCAAAAAACTGAACAGCTTTCCCCATTCACAATACTATTTTCTGAGAGCTTCGGTTTGGCATGGATATTTAAGGCTGATGTTACAATTCACTGATAGTTCTAACCAACCACTGCATTTCAATGACAAATATTAAGTTGCTTTTGTAACTGGAGATAAAGGAAAAAGTACAAACTGGTGAAACCTTTGTCTATTGCATTTTAGAAATATTTGTGCCTTGGCTTTAATAAATTTTTAATCCAATTATATTGACTCAGAGAAAACTGAAATTCAGTTTTATAATTTTTTAACAAACACATTTCAAAGCAATAAGCCAATATTTCAACTTACATGCATATTTTACATATTCTAAATTACATAAAAATCAATTTAAAGAACTATAAACTTACTCATAATACTCAGCAGCTTTCTGCAATGCAGCTTTAACATCGTCAGGAAACTCTCCTGGATCATGCGTACCTGCACAGGCCACACTCTTACCCTTGGAGTGATACACATTCCCAAGGTTATAAAGTGCTCTTGCTTCTCCAACCTGTCACACATACAAAAGTATGCTGAAAATTAATTTCAGACAATTGCCTGTTGAACATTTTGAAATACAAATAAAAAATAGCTGTACGCATAATAAAAAACGTGAAGACACTGTCTAATACAAAATCATTGCACTTGCAAGCCCGAAAGAAAAGGCATTCTCTAACTTGATGCCTTCCAAAGGTCTTGGGCAAATGCCCCCTTAATCCCCAAGTCACATGGCCAGTGACCAATGGTCATGTAACTGGGGATCCCCCTCGATGGACAGAAGCATACGAGAAGCTCGGCCTGTCACTGAACATTGAGAAAACCAAAGTGCTATTCCAGCAGTCACCAGCCAATCCCTCCAATGCCAGAGATACAGCTTAATGGTGTAACATTAGAAAATGTTGACCATTTCCACTACCTTGGCAGTCACCTCTCCACCAAAGTCAACATGGACACCGAAATACAACACCGCCTGAGTTCTGCGAGAGTAGCATTTTTCTGAATGAAGAAGAGTGTTTGAGGACCGGGACATCTGTAGGGATACCATGGTGCTTGTTTATAAAGCCATTGTCCTCCCAACCCTGCTATATGCCTGCGAGACGTGGATTGTCTACAGACGTTACATGCAACTCCTGGAATGATTCCATCAGCGCTGCCGCCGGAAAATCCTGCAAATCTCTTGGGAAGACAGGCGGACAAACGTCAGCGTGCTGGAAGAAGCAAAGACCACCAGCATTGAACCGATGGTCCTCTGCCATCAACTCCGCTGGAGTGGCCACGTTGTCCGGATGCCTGACCACCATCTCCCAAAGCAGATACTCTACTCCGAACTCAAGAACGGAAAACGGAATGTTGGTGGACAGGAAAAGAGATGTAAAGATGGGCTCAAAGCCAAGCTTAAAAACTCTGGCATAGACACCGAGAACTGGGAAGCCCTGGCCCTTGAGCACTCCAGCTAGAGGTCAGCTGTGACCAGCAGTGCTGAAGAATGGAGGGCGAAAGAGAGAAACGTGCCAAGTGGAAGGCGCGTCAAGCCAACCCCGACCGAGACCGCCTTCCACCTGGAAACCAATGCCCTCACTGCGGGAGAAGATGCAGGTCAAGAATAGGGCTCCACAGTCACCTAGGGACCCATCAGAACACTGATCCTGGAAGACTATCGTACTCGTCCAATGAGGGATCGCCTAAGTAAGTAAGTAACTGGGGATGATGGGAGATGTCGCTCAACTGTTGTGGAAGGTGCTGAGCTGAGGAGAGGCTGTATTACTCAACCAGATGACCATCTGTTTCTACTCACTGTCATGTTCAAAAATGCCACTGGCTACATAAAAGTCACAGGATTTTCAGAATCTGGGACCAGTTTCCTTTAAATTAAAACAGCTCAGTATTCCTCTCAATGACCCATATATCCAAGTGTCTACATCCTTGCTAAAAAGTCTGCAATCTAAAGATGGTATTAACATTCACACACACAAGGGAATTACTTGACCTGTTGTGGCTCCCTCTGTATTTCACAGCTTCAAATGGCTAGAACATTTACTCTAGCAGATAAAATGAATTTCATTCTCTCTGTCATGAGATGAAGGACTTGGTTGTACCAAATTCTAGTCCTTATTACATAACTTGCATCCTCTTGATTTAGAAAGGTATCCAGAACAAGTTTCACAGCATGTTGATTTTTCTAAGTCAGGCTCCTTCTGCACTGCCATATAATTCAGATTATCAAAGTAGATAATCCACTTTACCTGCTTTGAACTGGATCAAATGAGTCTACACTGCTATATAATCCAGTTCAAAGCAGATAATCTGGATTTTACATAGCAGTGTAGATGCATATCATGCACAACGCTTGGCTAATCGAGTATTCAACATCTGCTCAAACAAGTATTGTCTCTGTAGAGGGTTGGTTTTTTGCCCGAGCTGAAAAGGGGAAATATTACATATGCTGTCCAGTTTATTTTCTAGAGGTCTGTGGTGAAAGAGAGAAAGACACACACAGAGAGAGAATATGATACTAGAATGTGTGAGTTAATACTGCTGCAGCCTCTTAGACAACCTGTTTAGCCCTAAGCTTTCACACCACTAGAACAAAACTGGCATCATTTTACTACCTCCACGTGAGAAATCTTAAGCTATAGAAAGATTTTAACATTGATGCTAGAGGGTTTTTTTTAATATTATGATTCAAACAGTAATTACTCTTACCTTGTCACTTAGGTCTCTGGAAATGTCAAGATGTCTCTGACAGCAGACAATTGCTTCTTCGTAATTTCCAAGGATTTTTAAAGTATTACCTAAATTCCCACTTGCTTTAGCTTCTCCCAGTTGGTCCCCGATAGTCCTGTAAATTGCAAAAGACACTCACTAGTATCTACCCTTTTAAAGATAAAGGTGTACTCAATCTACCTCACACAGCAGAATTTTTCACCATTAAATAACATGCGTATTTCATCCTCGTTCAAACATAGCTGAGCAACAATCCCAAGCATTTTTTTTAATCAAGACAAAATATTTAATGCATATCCCAGATCTAGCTGAATCCACGTATGATGGGTACTTGGAGCATGCTACAGCTGATGCTCTACAAATAACTAGATGGTAGTACCTTAGCTTGTAAGAACTATCATGGAGGACATTCCACCAACAGGGAATGCTGGTGGACAACAAAAATATTTAAAGATGGTCTTAAAGCTAAACTAAAAGAATGTGGTATAAAAACCGAGAACTCGGAAGCCCTGGCAATCAAGCATTATAACTGGAGGTCAGCTGTTACCAACAGTGCTATGGATTTTGATGAGGCACAAATAGAGGGCGAAACGTGCCAAAAACGCTTATTGTGACCGTCTTCCACCTAAAAATGTATGTCCTCACTGCAAAAAACATGCAGATCTAGAACAGGTATTCACAGCCATTTACAGATCCACCACCAATTTTTTACCTCTAGAAGACAACCACACTCAAACATAAGTAGTCATCCATGAGGAGGAGATTCCTCCAGATCACTGCTAGATGACAATCACAAACAGGCATATCCACTATACCTTGCTGATTGTATCAGGGAAGACAACCTGTCATGTAATTTGTTGCCATTGCTTGACTTCAAGTCATTTTAGAATTATGACAAACCAAGTAGTAACCTATCACAAGGCTTTCATAGCAGGCTTGTTCAGGGGGGGTTTACTACTGTCTTCCTCTGAAACTAAGAAAAGAGGACTAGCCCAGGTTCATTCAAATGGTTTCTATGGCCAAGTATCAATTTGAAACCTGTTCTTCTGAGTCCTAGTTCAACATTCAAAGCACTAATTACTTATTACTTCAAAATAATACCTTAGTAGTTTTCAGCAATGTAACCTGGTATTACATTATTTAGAGCTGTATTGAACAGCAAATCCTTGAACTTTGTTTGCTAGCTACACCAAGTGTACTAGCGTTAAGCCCACACATGTGGTTTGGTACCCAGTTAAGTTTCCTGCCTTTTTTTACATCAACGATAACATTCAGACCAACCATAAGGATAGTCCTAAAAAGTAAACTATTATAATCTTAGCTCACTATATCTAAGAATGATTAATAACTAACTACTTTATCCATACAAGTAAAATCCTACATGCATTTAATAGGAATAACCATCATTGAATGCTATGGGATTGACTTCTCATTAAATGGAGCAAGAAAATATCTGGAAGATTCTAAAGGTACCATAGTGTTAAGTTACCTTGCAAGAGTTAAATCGTGGTGATGATATTCCAAAGCTTTTGCATATTCGTGCAAGTAGAAATATGCATTACCCAGTTGGCTATAAATTGCACTGAGCGTTTTTAAGTCTTCTGTTCCAACCTGAACGGCGGCCTCAAAGAAAGATACACCAGCTCGACAATCTCCCGCTTTACACAATCGTTCTCCTTCCAAAGCAAGCTCCAGGCAAGAAGCTTCCATTCTACAGAGACAGGATATATGGCAGTTATAAGCAAAATAAACAGATATTACTTATAAAGAAGTTGTGATCAACACTACATAAAGTTTATTTCAGACAAACAAAACAGCCATTTGTTTTTGCAGCACAAGCTTAACATTAAGTTCTAATTAGCTGTTATTACATCAATTATATTAAACTGCATCACATTACATTGCTCTATAAAAAGTAAGACATAGTTGTAGCTAACATTTTGAGGACGATGAAGTTTGATAGATCACCATTTGACAACACAAAAGTCGTTTGAAATAAATTAACACTCTCCTTCAATATAAATAATGCTCCTATAAGGCTGCTGAAGACGAGAGCAAGGAGAGACTCTAATGATACAACCTACAACTATTATCTCGCCCATCTGCTTTGGCTGCACTGGATGCCATGTTTTGTTCATTAACTCCAAGTAAATATACGATTAAGATCAAAATTAAACGTAAGATTTATAAATAAAAAATGTAACTGCTCCAAATTATATCACCAGACTATTTAGTTGACCCCTCTGGCTAGCACCAACTGGCGCTCTGGGCCAGAGTGAAGAGAGGAGGGACCAGGGGACACTTTCCTCTTGTCTCCTGCATATGTCATCAGTTGCGGACCCCTCCCCCCCAGCGCCAACTGCACCTCTGGGCCAGAGTGAAGGGGGGGCAGGGGACACTTCCATCTTGTCTCCTGCATATGTCATCAGTTGTGGACCCCTCCCCCCAGCACCAACTGCACCTCTGGGCCAGAGTGAAGGGGGGGGCAGGGGACACTTCCATCTTGTCTCTTGCATATGTCATCAGTTGGACCCCTCCCCCCAGCACCAACTGCACTCTGGGCCAGAGTGAAGAGAGAGGGGAGTAGGAGACAGTTCCATCTTGTCTCCTGCATATGTCATCAGTTGGGGACCCCTCCCCCCAGCACCAACTGCTGCTCTGGTCCAGAGTGAAGGGGGGGGGGGGCAGGAGACAGTTCCATCTTGTCTCCTGCATATGTCATCAGTTGGGGACCCCTCCCCCAGCACCAACTGCCGCTCTGGGCCAGAGTGAAGAGAGAGGGGCTAGGGGACAGTTCCATCTTGTCTCCTGCATATGTCATCAGTTGCGGACCCCTTCCCCCAGCACCAACTACTGTTCTGGGCCAGAGTGAAGAGGGGGGGCAGGGGACAGTACCATCTTATCTCGTGCATATATCATCAGTTGGGGACTCCTCCTCCCAGCACCAACTGCCGCTCTGGGCCAGAGTGAAGAGAGAAGGGGCTAGGGGACACTTCCATCTTGTCTCCTGCATATGTCATCAGTTGCGGACCCCTTCCCCCAGCACCAATGTTCTGGGCCAGAGTGAAGAGGGGGGGGGCAGGGGACAGTACCATCTTATCTCGTGCATATATCATCAGTTGGGGACCCCTCCTCCCAGCACCAACTGCCACTCTGGGCCAGAGTGAAGAGGGGGGCCAGGGGACACTTCCATCTTGTCTCCTGCATAAGTCATCAGTTGCGGACCCCTCCCCCCAGCACCAACTGCTGCTCTGGGCCAGAGTGAAGGGGGGGGCAGAGAACAGTGCCATCTCATCTCCTGCATATGTCATCAGTTGGGGGACCCCTCCTCCCAGCACCAACTGCCACTCTGGGCCAGAGTGAAGGGGGGGCAGGCGACAGTGCCATCTTTTCTCCTGCATATGTCATCAGTTGGGGACCCCTCCCCTTGGCACCAACTGTTGAATTGGCCAGGAGTGAAGAGACAAGGGGGCAGGGTACAGTTCCACCTTGTCTCCTGTGCTATGCTAACAGTATAATATAATGTAATGCAATATAATACTAATAATATTAATATGGTATTATAATTATATACTTTATATTACATGTAATATTACTAATATTACAATATAATAATATAGTACAGTATAGTAATATATAATACTGATATTGTACTGTGCTATTAATATAATATATTGTATATATATAGTAAGACATTCTGAGTCCCCTTCGGGATGAGAAGGACGGCATATAAATGGCATAAATAAATAAATAATAGTTAATGCCTAATGCCTAGCGGTAGCATTGTAAAATATAACCAATTAACATAAAAGCTGCAAGATCAGTACAATTCAGTCAGCAATATATACTTAAACACAAAAGGAAATCCTCAGTAGACACACACGCTACCAATACTGATGAGTTTTGAAATTGATTGTAAAATTATGATTCTACAGTCCCAATGTTGGCCTTGATTTCACAGTTAACAATACTGATGAGTTTTGAAACTGTTTGTATCAAACAAGGAAAGTTTATTGATTAGTCTGTAGAATTATGGCTCTAAAGCAGGCATGGACAAACTTCAGCCCTCCGGGTGTTTTGGACTTCAATTCCCACAATTCCAGCAGCCTACCGGCTGTTAGGAATTGTGGAAATTGAAGTCCAAAACACCTGGAGGGCCAAAGTTTGCCCATGCCTGCTCTAGAGTCAAGATTTTGGCCTGGGTATCACAGGAAGACGTGATTCTATAAATCTCTTTTAATACCAACTACCAATCTAACAATAACCAATACCCACTTAATTCCCCACATATTATAAAGAGTTTTTAAAAGTAGAAACAATAATGGCATTTGGGTACTCGGAATTCCTACTGGGCTATTTTAAATTCCACAGTTTTCAACTCCCACCCACTCAAACCCCACATCTAAGCCCTGGTTTCTTATGCACATTTTATTCTTGGCTTGGATTTTTACATCTGGAGAACAAGCTACAGCCATTCCTGCCAGCTGGACCAAAAGACTCCTGAACCGGATCCAGCTAGCAAAAATTACTTTCCTATGATCTGTCTAAACTGTTTTGAAAGGAGAAATTTTCCAAATACGTGGGTAACTCCCTTGGAAATATGAACCATGGAAACCTTCCCTCTTCCTCTCCTCTGAAATTCTAATGATTCAGGCTATAAGTGGGTTAAGGTAAATGACATGAATAAATCAACTAAATATATTACCACACCTCTCTCTCTAGTGCGTCAATTCCCTCCAAACCTCACCAGTACTTAAAGTTGGTTGTGTTGGCACACATGACCACATGACCAATTTTGAAAATGGAAGGAGTTTGAAGGGAATTGACTTTGGATGTTGGAAATGACAACCTTCTTCAAGCCTTCTGTCATGTATAATGTTCTGCAATTGATGATGATTGGTGATGGTAGGCCTAGCAGTTGGTTAATGTAAGTCTTAGTTCTAAAGGGTTGAGTAAATTGTAAGTAAGAGTTCATGGGTGAAAGCAATTAAGGGTGGAGGTATGCAAGAGATAGGTTGCAATTGGATGTTTCTGGATATAATGAGCTAGCCTTGGGACTGATCTTTGGGAGAAAGGTACTTAAGCTAGTATATATTTCTTAAAATAAAAGTAATGAGTAGAAACTAGCAAAGAGACTAGCAAACTTCCTTGTGTTGGTGGAAGTTGCAGTTTAACAGCACCTAGGGGGACACAAGTTTCCTCTACCCAGCTAATGGTAAATGATGACTGTTCAGTTTCAGCTTTTAAACTTTATCTGAAGAGCCGGGCCCAACAGTGAAAGAAAAACATTTGACTTGGAGGCAATATCTTCCACTCTTAAAACTGCTTCTTTCATTAAAAAGTTCATCCAACTGTTCATCCAAAATCCGGTATCTAAAGCCCATCAGATCAGGTCTGGCCATCTGGCACTGCCCTTTTGGGAAAAAACACTGTTAAATCTCCCCTCCAGAGTCTTCCCTTTTTTGAGCCAAACACACTCAATTCTTCCAACTTTTTCTCATATAACTTGCTTTTGGTATCACTAATAACCTTTACTCTCTTTTTCTGAACTCATTACAATTTAAACATTTGAACAGAAATAGAAAAATAACTCCAAATATATCCCACCTGGTGCTGAATATATTATATAGTTATTACTGTAATTGAGAAAATAGGATTACAGTATATTAAATCAGCATTAGCCATTTGTTTTTTTTTGTTTGTTTTTTTTAAAAAACTGTCTCAGGTTCAGGCTGTGAACAACTACATTTGCAAATTCCTTTTCATAAATACCACTGCCAAGCCAGGTATCTCATTTCCTATGCTTGTACATTATATTCCCCATTCTCACATAAAAGTTCGTATTGGTCTCTGCTGAAATTTATTTCATAGGTTTCAGCTCAGTTTTTCATTCTATCAGGTTTGTTTTTATGGTCATTTTAATCTAGACCTCTAAGTTTTGAGATAGTTGTCTTTATAAATCAGTAACTGGTGCAGAACTTCTAGTCCTCTAGATATTATTGAGTCCAGCTCATATCAACTATTACCAGCATGATAGGAAATGTAGTTCCATATAATCTGAAAGGTCACAGGGGGGCCTTCCAGACAGGCCCTTATCCCAGAATCTGATCCAAAGATTTCTGCTTTAAACTGGATTATATGAGTCAGCACTGCCAGATAATCTGGGATAAACAGAAAACCTGGGATGAGATTCTGGGATATAAGCCCTGTCTTGAGGGCCCGGGGTCTCCACCCCTATGCAATTAATGACAGTATTGGTCCCAGAACCGAGCCTTGTAGTTATTCCACTTGAAAACTTATTCCACTGACGATGATGATGATGACAATAATAAATCTTTATGTGTACCCCACCACCATCTCCCCAAAGGGACTCAGAGCACTCACAAAAACACTCCAAGTGCCACATACAGCCAACAGATAAAGAAGCATTTGGGTAGAATTTTCCAACCAGTTATAGATGCATCTCATTATAAGCAACCTGCATATAACCAGTTTGCTAAGCAAACTATCATAATGGATGGTTATGTCAAAGGCTTTGGTGAACAGGCAAATTACATCCATCAATGATTATGCTAATACAGCAATTCTTTCAAAAGTACTTCTACGTAGTAATATATAAACTATATATTACCACCAGGCCCGTAGCCAGGATTTTGATTCGGAGGGGGGGCTGAGTTTGATTCGGGGGGACTGACTCTGAGTGAAAAAGGGTCTACCCTAGCAAACCTTTTGTATTGTTACCCCAATACCCTCATGCATATGAGATATATTGAGCATGGTGATCAGATCATGATATGAATAAACATAACAGTTTAAATAATGTACCAGTAAGGCCTTTTCGCAGACCACCATGAGAATTTCGAGGGGGGGGGGCCTTGGGGGCTTCAGCTACATGCCTGATTACCACGTATATATTACTGGTAATATACAAATTATATATTACCAAATTATAACATTACCATGTAATGTAATATATAGTTTATAATATTACTAAATATTCAAACAGATATACTAACATTACATTTTGCTATATCTTTACATTACATTTTATGTAATGTAACATTACATTTTGCTATATCTTAGCAAAATAACATAACATTTTGCTGTATCTTAGAATGAAATACATTCCAAACAAGAAACAACTTTGGACTGTGCTCTGCTAATCAAGTTGTTTTTAAAATTTCCAGTGCTGCATAGGCTTCTGTGGTGAAAAATAGCTTATTCTCAGTATAATTTTAGCAAATAAATCATATAGTGCAGCTTCTTTCTCAGTAGCTATATTATTTTTCATAATCATAATAATGTCTATTTTTGTCATAAAGTTTTCTACCAGTACTATATACAGCATATAAGATGTAAACCAACATTTACACTTGAAGGTACTGTACTAAAAATCCATAACTATTTTTAAAGTCACAATTAATATTCTATGTAAACTGGATAAATGGAAGCACACAATTATAATAAGCACGGCAAAAGAGCAAATTATTTAACCAACAATTAAATATACAATAATTCAAATGCTATTTGATACACTACAAAAGCAATCTTTTCTTTGCTATAGCATTAGAGGACTTTTCAAAATTTCTGGCTAAAACTATTCCAAAAGAACTAGCCATTCTAGATTGTACATAAAAAGAATATACTAAAAGCATACTATACCTTTTAGTCTTTGACATTCCACAGCCTAAACATAAAGACATGACAGACATTTTTAGCTTTTGTAATGCAAAACTGTGGGTGCCTAGTAACCAGGAACTGTGTAGAATAAAAGTTATATTTCAGGCCAGGAATTCTGCAGAAATCTAGCATTCCAAATTGGCTAGCCATACCACATGCAGGATGGCTTCAAAGGTTGTCCAGAAGATCCTAAAACGATCTAACCACCGTCTGCTTTCATTTTATTGCGACAAAGTAGTCCAACATGACTAAGACAAAACCCAAATTGATTGCAACAGTATGTCATACCACAACAACAAAAGATTTAACACACTCCATTGGGTAATCTTAACTAATCTTATCCCCTCCGAAGAGGTTCTCTCCGGGCACCTCATGTTAACTGTCAGTTTCAATTAACTTGGCATGTAGAAATTAGGATGTTCAAATTACGAGTTTGTCTATAGCTCAATTTGGATAAATTCATAGTAATCCTATCTGTGAACTTTCATGTCCACATTTATGTTCTGAACTTTCAAGCAGATTCAGTATCTATTTTTAAGAATTATTTTAAAATACAGATTTGCACAGAGATGATTTTTCAAAGCGTGACATAGAAGCAGGTAGACGCGAAGCATGACGTGTTTTTTGGAGGGGGGAGTCATACCTGGCACGCATGTAAAGACAAAGACGTGTTAAGGAATAATGGCAGATATCTTCAATTCAAGTGAGCAGAAATTATTTTTTGTTAGTATGTCATAACGGGACAACGTGATTAAAGAGGCTTGGGACGAAAAGCTGTTTAGAGGCAACCCAATGAAGCTAAAAGCTAGGACTTGAAATCAAGATGTATATAACCTCAGTTAATTACAGGAACAGAATTAGCAGCCGAGTAAAGAGCTTTGCAACTGAACTATGCCCATTTATATCTAAGCAAACATTGTATTAGCTTACTAAGGGATTCTGGCATAGAAGATCAAACTAAGCATTTAGAAAATCATAAAATAAGAAACAGAAAAACAGTAGTTTATTCCGAGTCTCTTTCCAGAGGCTTTAAACAGATCCATTATTTGCTAACCAAGTACCTAATAATTGAATATATTCTAAATAGTGCAAATGGGGAGGGATCCATTTGTTTATGTACTTGTGATGAAATATTTTTGAATTTTCTGTAAAAATTTTCATGTGATAGATGCATCATTGTAATTTTTTGTTTCTGCATTATTCAGCTGACTCATTCTCCTTTGAATAGATGATTCCTTAAATATAATGTCTAGTTTTCACATTCCTATCCTTACATCTTGATCTTGTGTAATTATAATAGCTTTGCCTTAAAAATAGTCTTTTTAAAGTTCTCAAATATTTTAATGTGTTTCATTTCTAAATAAACACAGTTGTTCAAACAGAGAACACTGTCAGGATTTTGTTAAAATTAGGGCATATCATCCTTAGAGGAAGAAGACAACACAAATGATAGTGTTTGTTTTTCATTCGTGCATCTTACCAAACAATTGCCCCTAGATCATTTTCATGTGTTAAAAGATGCAGAGGAAAGACATCTGTCTTCCCGTTTTTCTATTATTTCCTAAAATATATTTTATAACTTCCTCATGTACTTTTTATTGTCCCATATCTCTAAATCTAAATTTGATGCATTCACTCCCTCTGCATTTCCATTTTTGTTGTTCAAAAATGCAAGTTTCACATTTTCCAAGTAAGTTTTTTTCTAATTTCCCTTTCTTGATCATTTCTCACTGGACTCGTTAACATGGTTTTTGCCCCTAAGATGTAGGTGCCCAGTCTTGTGCCTCAATCTACACATGCCTGATGCTTTTGCTAAATTCAGTAAACATGAAGTTGATTTACTATATGTGTTCCTCTTCATTCTCGTCCTCTGTAGCTTTTAGATGGTTTTATAAATCCAGTTCAGGTACATGACTCCATGAGTTTCTGTCTGTGTATGTACAAAACTTTTTATTAAGCTTAGGAAATACAAATTATGGTAAATCTGACTCTTTGTTTTTAATTTCACACAGATCTACCCAAAGCACAAACATGGATCCACTAGTATCATTCCGCTGTCAGTAGAAATGTGAGAGGGATACCTTGGCCCACCATTTTCACTGTCCCAGATTTAAACAGCAGAGAAGGACGGGGAGGGATAGAAGGAATTATGTTGCAATAATTAACATGCATGGATAAGAAGAAAGACCCATCTAGTTCAAATTCCAATGTCAAAATAAAAACATTGAGATTCCTTCCTTCCTTAAATATAGAAAGGCATACAAAATAAAAGTCAGTTGTACTCACTGTTGTGTTGCTAATACACAGTATTAGCTGAGCTAATCTGGCTGAGCACTGATTTCTATGCATATACAAGCAATACACGAGATTCAATTTATTAGTTTATATTGTGCAGACTATTTTGTACACACTAAATCGAAACACTAACACAGACAGTTTTAACAAAACTCACATACAGCTGATCTTACTATTTTTAATCTTCGCTTCAATCATTCCAAAACATTTCTTTTGAAACAGCAAACGAGGAAAACGGAGAAGCAATCTGATCTGCCTTTCCATTTCTTGTTTTTTTTTTACTTTTGCTGTTGTCACTAAAAGGTAATTCCCTGCAATGGTTTCATTCCTTCAGGCCTGGCATCAGCTATCATCACAATGATTTGCTGTATTTGCTAACCTAAAGAGACACAAACTCTTTCAATACCTAATTAATTTTCTTTGTCAAAATGAGAGTGCATGCATAGCACCACCACCAGGAGATAATACATATCAAAGGAGAGATAAGGAACAAATAAGCAGAGCTGCAAGAAAATGACTATCACTTAAGCACCTATTTTATATGCATGAATAAATTCCAGAAAGTACAAATACATGTAATTATTTCCAAGGATCAACACAGTTCTTTGAAGAACAACTTTATGATCACTTAAAAGAACCACAGTCACAAATAAGAAACCTATTTCTTATGTATAGTCTCTGTTGCTCACACATGGATAACTAACTCATCAGAGGTAACTAACTCATTAGGGGATAGGAATCACAGTCAACCTAAACAAACAACTGCCAACCCAAAGACTGACTCCCTCCAGGTTCAAATATCCTATTTGACAAATGAATGACAAATGAATACCATGGGCTATGCCCATACAGCTGCCTGACAATATATTTAGAAACAGAACACTGTTGAGGAAGGCAGTAATAATCGCACTTGTGGAATGACTATGATTTTATAGTTGGAAAAATGAGAAACATCAAAACAGACAAATTCATGTTCTTTTTGCTAAATTTTCATAAAACCTTATTCAAAAGTAGTACGCAAGCTTACCTGTAACGAACATGAAATGAACGACCTTCACACATGTTTAATAAAACCTTTTCTTCCATCAAGTTGCATTCTGAGTTTTTGAAAAATAGCACCTATGTTGCTTGCAGCACAACTACTGGCATATGAAGGTGGTCTTCTTCCCAAGTATCCCAATCAATATATTCATAACTTGTGAATTAGCAAATTGCAAGGTTCTGTTGCAGTACTCTTCTTTCATAGAAAGAAAAGGAAATCATTATCCGACAGTCCTCAGGTGTTCAGAGTAGGAAAGTTTGTGCCTGCCAGCTGCATTTCTGCAAAGACAAAATAAGATAATCAGCCCTGATATTTTCCTTGCAATTCAAAACTAATACAAAAAACATAGACTATCTCATTGATTGTTCAGGAGAACTAATAAACACAGTTTGTGCATGTAAGGAATTCAGAAACCAAATGAATTTGATATAAAAACCCTCTCAGGCTACTTTTCACTTCACATTGTGTGCACAGATTTTGGCATGCAAGTACAAAAATACACAAACCTCTCATTAATCTTAAAGAAAACAGTCATGTAACATTCAGACCATGTTCCTTTACAACCCAGAAAAGCAATATGTTTTTTTCAAGGCGAGATAGAAGTCAAATTTTAAGATAACAATAAATTGCTTGATCGATAGCCTAGTTTCAGCTCAAGATGTCAAAAGGCATCCAATCTTAATCATGTTTTCCCCCTAGTACAACCCACCATTTTAAATGTGTCTTAAAGTTTGAAACCTTAAATATTCTCCTAAACAACTCACTGTAATTGAGTTTCTGCTGTATTTATGTAGACCAGGAGAACAAAATCACCAAAACAAGACCTATGAAGGTGGGATGATAAATCCTTAATCTTAATACTTACAAAAACCTACTAGTCTTTGAGCTCGGCAATAAAAGCCCAGCATAAAATTCACTGCTACACATATTATAATATTTATGTCTGCCTAAAATATATTCTCCATAATTTTCTTTTACACAGAAAAACAGCCTCCAACTCATTATGTCTGACAGATAGTTGTGATTCATTTACAAAAGATAACATATGTAGACATAAACATATTTTAGCTTTTAGAAAATCCAGGTACCATTAACACTGTTATGTTAAAAACAATAAACATTGGCAATTTGTATTTAAAGAAACCACATCTAAGATAACTGAAAATCATCAATATCTATACTGCAGCACTTTTCTGTCTTCAAGTAATATAGAAAGACACTGTTTGCATAAAGTCTACCTATTTTCAGAGTGCTGGAGATAATGTTGTGGGAAGGAGATGGCAAGGAAGCCCATTTCCACACCTTTCTGTTTTGTATTTAAATCTCAAATTGGAAACAATGTTTAATCTTCAAAGAGAGACATTAAAGGGACCCCCAAATTATGGAGGAAAATGCTATTTATGGCATTTGACCTTCCTATTAATTCAATGGAAAGTGCAGGTTGCCATTTTACAGGGTGGAAAAGGAAATATATTGTCCAGAGGCACTTTCCTATATCACTGCTAGCCATTACAAATACTTGTCAGCTACTAAGCTGGGACAGAACATACACACTTCTGTATCCCGAACAACATCTTTCTATCTACATTAGAATCTAAGTGTCTATCTCACTAGAATTTTGTGCTGGAGCACTTAAGCAATATTGCACTTCTTCCTTCTGAGCTTCAATCAGTTATTAAAATGTAAATAGCTTGCATAGCAAAAATGGAAACAAACCCATCCTGTTTTCTTAGTCATCAAAATGTATTTTAAAATATAAGTTATGATGGGTAATTAATGTTACCGATGAAGCATTAAAACTAAGCATGTTCACTGAGTGCAGATATCATACTGAGACTGTAAGCAAAACTAAATTTCTATTAAGTCAATAGTATTGAGCTCCTTCTGCCTAAGAACCTTAAGGGTCAAGTTGCCATGTAAAAGCATCTTCTGGTTTTTATTTACATTTTCATATTAAGTACTTAAAATAGCCAGTCATCACTCTATACACTAAGATCAAACTTACTGCTCAAATGCAAAACTTTCTCTTGTCAAAAAAATTATTTTCATACATTAATAGGTCAAAAGACATACATATGAAAATAAATCTTTTGGGAGGAATTGATGTGGGTATAAAATGATCATGGAATATTCAAGTTAGAAATGAACATACTCAGTGTGCAGAGAAAGCTGGAAGACATGGGGACATTGGAAAGAAGGAATGGAATATTCTTGAAGAAGATAAAGATGAAATACTGAGCAGGTGCACTCCACCATATATTTTACTGACGGTTCCAGCTGAAATCACAAATTGGTTTTTAAGCACTCTTGTCATTTGGGAAAAAGGAATGATGACAAATCTAAGAGCCAGGTGCCCCCCCTTCCCCCCCCCCTCCATTATGTTCTTGCTCCTAGTTTAGATGCTTGTTTAACTAAACTAGAGGACAACCACTTCACAGCTTAGCCCAACCCAAAGAACTTTTTATCCAGCCCACAATGCCCAGTAACCCCCATATCCATGCCTCTTGCTTACTCGCAATTCTCCTTCTCCTTGTAGCAATCTAACAAAACTGGGAGTCTGGAGAGCTTAGAACAGGGGTCCACAAACTTTGTAAACAGAGGGCCAGGTCACAGTCCCTCAAACTGTTGGAGGGCCGGATTATAATTTGAAAAACAGCACGAAATAATTCCTATGCATACTGCACATATCTTATTTGTAGTGCAAGAAACACTTTAAAACAATACAAGAATTAAACTGAAAAACAATTTTAACAAATATAAACATTAGTATTTCAATGGGATGTTTGGGCCTGGTTTTGGCTGTTGTTGTTGTGTGCTTTCAAGTTGTTTCAGACGTTGATTGACCAAGCGATGGCCGGTTAAATGACCTTGGAGGGCCGTATCCAGCCCCCGGGCCTTAGTTTGAGGACCCCTGGCTTAGAAGCTTCTACAGGTACTGGGTGCTTCTTCAGATACAACTGGATGGTGTTAATGAGGGCAAGAAGTATATAAACAGCAACACAGAATGAAGGCTGTATAGTAGAAAGGTGAGAAACAACACAGTAACTGACATGACTGGAAGAGGCATCTCACATAATAATAATAATAATAATAATAATAATAATAATAATAATAATAATAATAATCTTTATTTATACCCTGCCACCATCAGAGTATTCCCAGGTCAGAATTTGTGTGGGTGCTTTCATCCCTCTTTTCACAAATCATAGTCTGCATTTGATATGAGGACTAAATGAAATCACACAACCTTGTTCATATCTGCTATTTCAGGCAAGCTCTAAATAGTACACTGATTTCTACTAGGGAATAAATTAAATGAAATCAGGATCTGCCTGGACTGATGTGGGGGGAAATTTATTTGAGGCAATCCCCATGGAAGAATATTCATGGGAACAAATTAAATGAAAAAAAAACCTGGGTGACAGGGAGGATGGAAGGAAGCCGGTCGAACAGGCAGGCGGGGAGCTACTTATAGCTCGCAGACAATTCTCTAGGAAACACAGCACTCAAGGGAGAAAAAAGTTCCTGAGTTCTATGATATTTCAATAAAAAGCTTGAGGGGGTGTAAGTAAAACTATATATTACTAAAAATAAATAAAACACATACACAATTCAAGCACTAACATAATTACATTCAGAGCATCTATGTTAAGCCTCCAACTATGGTTTAGTTCACCCCACACAAATATAAGAAGTGTCAGCAGGAAGACACTAATTTATCTTCCCTACAATGATCTTGAATGCTGCCTTTTCTCACGAATTCTATATATTACTGTGGTCACAAGAAGCGAAAGCCATTCCAAAAATAATCCCTGTACTCTTCAAGGGTTCATTTGATTACCAGAGCTGTTAAAATGGCAGAGGCTAGGTGAAAAGTAATTCCAGTTCAAAAATTCTAGCCCTGAAACCTCTAAACATTTCCTACCTAGTTCAAAAATAACAAAAAATTCCAAAAATACATTAAAAATTAGAAGCCAACAGACCTCAGAAAGCTTCGTGAAAACAGCAATAGTTTTTAAACTTTAAAGCTAACTGTGTCACTGCCAAGTGGTTGCAGGATGTATTTGTGTATATATGTGTGTATTTTTAGTTCCAGGATTTTAAAAAGTTAAAAATACAAAATTACCTACATTACTTTCAATTAACATTTAAAATATTACATTTAAATCACTGACATTATAATAAAATAAATTAACATTAACTGCATGAATTCAAATTAATCTTGGGATTTTAAAATAAATTATACTTATTTGCTACGGACACCGCAGATTACTGGTGAACTGATAAATCACTGGAACACAGAAACATGGAGGTGGCTACCCAGGAAGTTATTAATGGCATTTAAGGAAGAATGATAATTGTTTTTCATAATTGTTTCTCCAAGGAAAGCAATGGCTTCAATTCACAATTGCAAAAAGACTCAAATAGATTTCAAAAACACAAGACCAATAATGGTGGATTAATTGTTTCTTGAATTGGTTGTTTCCTCAGAACTAACCGATTCCTCCAATTGCTCAATGAAATGAATAAATAGGTTGTTGTAGGTTATTTCGGGCTATGTGGCCATGGTCTAGAGGCATTCTCTCCTAACGTTTCGCCTGCATCTATGGCAAGCATCCTCAGAGGTAGTGAGGTCTGCTGGAACTAGGAAAAAGGATTTATATATCTGTGGAATGACCAGGGTGAGACAAAGGACTCTTGTCTGCTGGAGCTAGGTGTGAATTGTAGACTACTTTAACCAGAGAAATCAGCCATAGCAGAGCACCTGATGAACCAACCTGGACACAGCATTTTATTTGAGAACACAGAAATGCTGGACCACTCTCACAACCACCATGTCAGACTACACAGAGAAGCCATTGAAATACACAAGCACGTGGCCAATTTCAATAGAAAGGAGGAAACCATGAAAATGAACAAAATCTGGCTACCAGTATTTAAAAAACTCTAAAATTACAACAGCACAACAACAGAAAGGAAACAAACAATCACCTCTCAACAAAACAATCACCTCTCAACAAAAGTTTGCTCTAGGCACTGTCAGGCCATTATTTGCTAATCAAGGTGGTCAGTTGAAAACATTCACACCTAGCTCCAGCAGACAAGAGTCCTTTGTCTCACCCTGGTCATTCTTTGTATAAGAAATATCATACGAAGTACATATAAGCTGATTTCATTATGGCATCCTAAGGACTCCTATTCATAAGCAGGTGCCGGTGAAATCAGATGGACTTTCTTCCCATTTCACTGTCACTAGGACTGTAGTCATAAGCCAAGG